GTGGCTGGGGGACTGGGGCAGCTATGTCTTCCAGCCTTGGGGACTCCACACACCCCTGGATCTGACAGATCGCAGCCATACCCCATGGCTGCCAGGACCCAGCTGGGTCCCAGCACCAGAAGGTATGCTGAAGAGACCCAATGTCCACAGCTGTGGGACTCTGGATTCTAGCAGCTTCAGGGTGTGGTAGGGACCCAGAATCAGCATCAGCTGTGTTGAGTCCCCTCAGCTGCAGGACTCCTAGCTGGGCCTGGTGCAATCCAATGGCAGGGGGGACCCTGCTACACATGCAAATTAAAGCTAGATAGCATCCAGTTATAAAGTTAGTGCATATTTTTGATGTCTTAACTTTAGAGCTGATTGGAGCTTGTTATGGCATGATAGGTACTTTGCACGTGTAGCTGATCTCAAGATAACTGTACTGTGTAGAGGGCCTATCACTCCTACCTTTATATTCCCAAATAGTCACACTTCCATTGTAATCTTCAACACAGCACATGGCCCCATATCATCCTAATCTTACATCCTGCTTTCTTCTAGCCTGACACAAAGGGTTTTGACTCTATGATCATTAGGTGACAATTTCCCATCACCACCTTTAAGAGTGCTTTTCATGACTCAAACTTTTCATGACGCACACATCTTTCTGATAGCGTTGGGAGGGACTTGGCAGATGTGGCGGACTTTTTCCAAAACTGACATAGCTATTTCAAACTTACAGGCTCTGTAGCAGATTGTGAATTACACAATGGTATATATAATCCCAAAGCATGCGAAATTTGGCTGAATGTGTGGTAAGCACAAAGATAAGACTAGAACTTATCTGGATGTTTATAAGAATAGTCAAACTAGAACTTGTCTAAGGTATACATTAGGTGTGAATTTAAACTAACAAATTACACCACTATAACCCTGTATGTAGATAGACCTATTCTGGCATAAGTGACTTTTTCAGCATAGTTCAAGTGACTTTGGAAAAGGTTTAAAGGTAAACCAAAATAAGCTTCTTATTCTGGAGTAGGAAAAGTCATACAACAAATTATACCAGTAAAGCTGCACTAGTTTAATTATATTGGTAAAAGTTTCCTTTGGAGACAGGCCCTCAGTCTTCTCTCCCACCTGTTCCTATTTGAAAAAAATATCTAATTTTTAAATATTACAGTAAAACACCAGTCTGATAATGCCCTTCATTCAAATTGCAATCACTGCAGCCCTGAAATAGCGAAGAAATAAAAAGTGGTACACACAAAAAAAACCCCAAACCCACAAGAAAGTTATACTTGAGATTCATATACATAAAAGCAAGAGAATTCAAAAGTGTGGTTCTTACAACTGTAACCTAACTATATGGCACATATCTTGCATGTTTCCACTCACATCTCTCCATTCACAGTTGCAGCAATGAAGATGAACTTTCTCTTCCATTCCTCAAGGGAATCATGTGCGTTTATTAGCACCTATTGTGCTGATTTGCAATATTATTGTACATTGTTTTATTGTTGTTTTTATTCACTGTCTTGTTTTTTTTAAAAAGGGTGAAATAATATGGCAATGAATATTTATATCAGCTCAGATCTGTAGGACTCTTCCTTTAAGCATTACAAGATATTGAAACATATAATGGTGACCAGAGGACACAGTGATAGTCCTCACTTAATAGGTCTTTGCTTATTAATTTTCAGTTATCCCAGTGATCCCAATGGTTCTCAACCTTTACCAGATTCAAAGTACTCTTCAAAAATATCAGCTTTTACTTGTTTCTTGACTACAATTTAAAAAAAAGAGAGCTGTTTTTCTGTTGCAGGGAACTCAGAAAGACCACAACAGGTCAGAATGTTTAGACACTGGATGCTTATTTGCAATCTCTGCATTTATTTTGTTAATCTTGTGCAGGTGTTTGTACACCTAAGATTGCTAATATTGCACAGAACCATTGAACCGTACTAATGTCGCTTGGTCCAACAACACAAACTAGACTTTTTTAATATTCTATTAAGCTTAATATTCTATTAAGATTTTGCAGCTTAGATTTCTGTTAAAGAACAGTATCATCACATCTAGTGGATAAAATATGCTATTGAAACAAAACAAAGAGAGACAAGGAAATATCAACTATAATATAACCTGTCCTGTTTTGTTTCATTTTTTAAACTTCAGTGTTTGTTTTAATTATTTTTAACCAAAATCATGATGGAACTACCTGGATGAGTATTTTCTCACTGATGTAAGAAGCTACTGTGGCCCTATATTTTCTACACCCTCTCAAAAAATGTATGATTAAATAACCATTACATTTATGTAATACATGTTGAATTCCTATGCCTACCATCTCTTTCTCCTAGAAAGGTTTATTGTAATATGGTCATATTATGTCTAATGTCTATATAACTGCTTTATATATAACTTGCACTGACAAAAGAATGGACTCTGGTCCCAGTCCTACAAATGGTACCGCACAGGATTCTTAAGCCTACAGTGAAGCCTAGCTAAGTCAAAGGAGCCCTGTACAGACACAGGGTCCACCGCAAGGAGTCACCTGCAGGATTCGGGTCTAAAAGATTTTGGGTTTATTCTACTGTGACCTGTGATTTATAAACCTTTGACAACCTGAAAAAAAACTGAAATAGGAAATATAAATTCAAATGAGAGCTCTTCAGCTACATGCAATCCCAGCTAGATTTTACCTAAAAAAGAACTGTTCACTATGCAGGCTGTGTTTGGTCTTTAGGAGGTTCACAACACTGCAACATTTATAGTAGATATCAAATGTTAAGAGTAAAGACTAAGAGCTATTCTGATTCTTATAAAAATTTGCCCTAACCTAACAGTCATAGAATAAATCAAAACAAATTATATAGTTACACAAATAGTCAAGTCTTTGATCTAAAACATTAGCAGCACACTTCAAATAAGTGATAATTATGTAAAACTGCTTCTCACAAAGCACTTCTGAAGTAAGCAGGATCCATCAGTTAATTGTGAGAGCAATGAAACTGGTTCTAAACATTATGTTTAAAATAAACCATGGCAAGTTTTGCTTCCCTTTGTATTGTTGGTTCTAACATAATTAGGTAAACTGACTTTAGGGGAACCCAACATAGTTTCTTTAATTGATGCACAATAAAGCTTAATCTTAAGAGAAACAAAATATTCAACAGTTAAAACTGTGGTTTTGACGCTGTTTGCAAACACAGCATCTGATGCTGCAAAACCACTCAATGCCAACATCCATAACCTCTTGAAATCGTCCTTTCTTGAATTTGTATTATTAAATATCATCAAGGAAACACAGCTAATTTTTATGGGCAATTAAGCACTGTACTGAAATAGTCCCAGAAGAGCAGGGGTTCGCTCATTAGCTAATCTATCATCCCACTGTACAGTTCCTCTTACAATCAGGACCCATTTTAAAGCAGCATACTTGTTGTTTATATTGCCTTCCAAACAGACTTAAGAGTGTGAAGTCCAGGGCACTGAGCAGCCTCGGTGAACTCTAGGATGTGGTGCACAGCACAGAAAGAAGTAAGAGCTGGCTGCTTACAAAGAACAAACTGGAGGGGGCTTGCTTCTTTTTTTTCACCGGGCTTCAAACACAAACTTTATGGCGATAAGAGAGGGATGTGTAAGTGCAGACAGGGCTGGAGCCTTAGACGATCCGGAATTGCCTTCGCTTAGTATTGCGAAGCTCAGGGACTGCGGCTTAGGCAGGAGTTTCTAACCCTGAAATCAAGCGCAGGAGCGGAGCACACGCCCATCGGCTCTGCCTGGAGAGGAAACAATGGGAGAGCCCCGCCGCGTCTCGCTAGCCATCACCGCCGCCGCCACAGGACCCGGCCCCGCGCGGACGCGAACCCGGGACGAGGGCTGACGATTGTTCCCGTGTGTACTCACCAAACAAGGTTAGAGCCATCTCCGAAGTGCTGCCCGTCCCCGGCTCGCGGCGGGGCTGGCGCTGCACGGGCTCGGGCTCATCGGCTCACGGGGAAACCCTGCAGTAAAAGTTGCACAGGGGGGTGCTGGAGCCGCTCGCTGCCGCGCCGCGCAGCTGGGTCCCGGGGCAGCCGCGCTGGGCAGGGCGCGGGCAGCAGGCTCGGCGGCGGCGGAGATGCATGCGCGGCTGATCGACGGCGCCGCTCACGCGCCCGCCCTGCC